CGGATGCGGCCGGGTGGGGCGGCCCACGGCGGAGAGCCGAGCGCGCACCCGCCCGCGCGACCTTGTCTCCCGCTCCTCCTCCCGTCCTTCCTCCTCTCTCCCGGCCCAGGCCTCACCCGCGCGGTCCCAGCTCGCGACCGGCTGGACCCGTTTCGGGGTTGAGCGCCGTGGACCCGCCGCCAGGTGCAGCGCTCCGCCTCCTGCGGCGGTGGCGGCGGATGCGTCCTCCGCCTCTCTCGGCCTCTCTCCCGGCCCTTCTTCCAGCCTCCAGCCCTCCCGCCCGCCCCGGGGCCCCGGGGGACCCCTGCACCTAGCGCAGCTCGGGAAGCGCGCGGAGAAGGGAGAACAGTTGGTGATGTTGCACCCCACCTCATCTCCCCCACCCCCAACACACACACACACACACACACACACCTCTCTCTACACCTGCCTCTTCTTCCACTGGCTTTTAAAACAATGCTGATCTGCTTAGGAGTAGGTAAGGAGGGTTACTATGGAATAGCAATAACTGTCATCTAATGGGCTCGCAGGTGCCAGACACAAAGCAGCGGATGCTACTAATGCCTTATCTCTGTGCAGCTACTCTGGCTTCCTGGGCCTATCATCAGTTGACTCTGAGAAAGGAAGGGGCTAGAGGAAGGAGATAAACCTCTTGGTGAGTTCGAAGGGGAAGGTGTCACCGGGCAGGACTTGGGTACAACGAAGTTAACAGCTTACTCCTCCTTAACAAGGTCAGAGAAAGCGCATGGTGCTTTACCGAAGAGGTAACTCAGCATGCGCATCAAGAATCAAGTTGCATATTTGGTTAAACATGCAAGAGGATGGAGAGAGTGATTGTGTGAAGTATTCATGCAACAAGTATTTTTGGTGCATGTAATGGGCTCCAGGAAATACCAGATCCTGACCTCAGAGTTTACGGTTTATTCTGCCAAAGGCAGAAATGGTGGAATATTTATTAATGTTTATTACATAACATTCAAGTATGATAAGCTTTGCCATAATTCTATTGGTATAGGCAATGCTATTTCCATTCTACCAGAAAGCTGAAGCTGGAAGTTAATATAGTCTGCCCCAAATCACTAGGAGAAGAAGCAGCTAGCCTTAAAATCCAGGCATTGAGCTCCTAGCTACACAATCTTAGAAATAAGAATTTTAACAATCACTGAGCTTCAGAATTTGGAGTCCCTTTTTAGGAAAAAGTAAAACAGCTATAAATCTAACTGCTAGGTCCCTTCTGGCATCCGTGAAAGGTCCCTGATGCATATGACACATTAGCCTCATGATAAATCCACTTACAACATTACACATAAAAGTAAAAGTGAGCACTACGGGTTCAAATGAAACAATTAAGGTCATGATTGGACTGAGATTGAAGATTTTGGTCTGGTATGGCTTCCTACTGCATTGTTTGCATCTGGATTGCTCATAAAGTACCCAGTTGGTAGCTGTCATAATAGAAATGCATAATAGAATCAGCATCGTTCCGATCTGTCCAGCTAGTAAACAACTTTTTTAAAAAAAAAAAGAAAGAAAGTAAAAGGCTGCAGTTCTAATTTGCTTCAGGTGAGAGGAAATGGAAGAGAACATAAAGAACTTAGGGGAACAATAGGCTAGTTCTTGACCTATAAAGGCTGTTCCATGTTGGAAAGGGAAGCCAAGTCATCCTAGAGATCAAACCTGGTGTTTGTGTTTCAGATAGAACATCGCAGCCTCCTGGGGCAGCAGAGGAAAATGTGTTATTTTAATTGGCCTTCTTAGGGCAAGATTTCTTTTCCTGACAAGCACAATTCTTTTAAGAAGACCAGAGTTTGGGACTATATCTAGTGGGTCATTGTACTACTAAATATTATTATATTTAAAATTCTCTCTCTTCTTTGCTAACAATACGACATAATGCAAGAAGATAGGAATGTACTGGGGGAAAAAATGACCTGCCTCTGTTCCCTTGTGTTCCTACTACCTTCTGTTAGCTAAACATGATGGGTGTGGTGTGGGAAACGAGCCTCTAAATACACAGCCAGTCAAGCTATCCCAGAGGGCATTGCACCGAAAGGTTCAAAGACAGAGATGCTGAAATCACAAGGCTTATTGAAGCACATGGCAAGAAGCCAGGCAAAAGAGACTAGGTTGACACAAAAGACAGCGCAAAAATGGATGGTGTGTTAGGAAATATGCATTGATTCACGTGCCATTCTCCGCATTCTCGACTATATTCTTCCCTGCCTAATGCTGTAGTTATGAAGACCAGAGATGAGGCTAAACAAGGAGTATTGGAAGACAGAAGTTGCCTCGTGTCATACACAGGACATTCTTGTCTTATAAGGAGACAGAGCAGCAAGTATGCCTCGCTATAGCTCACTAACTAATCTAAAGAGAAATCTGGGAATTTTATCTGCATTTCACAGGCAGAAAGAAAATACAGCCTGCATAGGTGTCACACATGATTGACTATTTTATGACTTCCTGAATATTAAGTGCCTTATGCATATTTAGCATATCTAGAATTTTTTGGGTGGTCCAGTCATGAGGCCTGAACTCTGGGCCTGGACACTGTCCCTCAGCTCTTCAGCTCAAGGCTAGCACTCTACCACTTGAGCCACAGTGCCACTTCCGGCATTTTTTTTCCTGCTTATGTGGTGCTGAGGAATCGAACCCAGGACCTCAGGCCTGCAAGGCAAGTGCTCTACCACTGAGCCACCTTCCTAGCCCACATATCTAGAACATTTGATGCCTATTTGGTCCTTCTTTCTTTATATTCACCTCATCATGTTCTCTATTTCCTGCATTCTACAAGCAACTTCCTGTACTTTAATTTCATTTATCTTCCTTACAAAGTAAGTTTCTCTTTCCTTGGCAGAATTACTTATTCTTAAATAATCAAATAAACAGTGCATTGGTTAACAGTGACAAAAAACCCTAACAGCTTACACAAGGCTTGCCATATGGCAGACAGTGCTCAATGTACTTTCAACATCTTTAGTCACATAATCTTTAACATCCATCACATGCAGGTGGGATTGCTTTTATTCCGTTTTACAAATGAGGGAAGTGGTCCATATAAAAGTGAAGTAACGTGACCAAGACCATTCCACTAGTAAATGACAGAACCTATATGGACTGGCTGCAAGCCCTGACTCTGAATCACTCATTAATCTTTGCTCATTTACATATGTGTGTGCGTGCACACGCGCATTCATACAGAAAACCTTGGAGATTTTGTTCTTATGAAATGGTAATAACAATTTCTTTCTCCACTGCGAGTGATATTGGACATTGTTCTCTCCTGGAAACTCCCTCCTTTGTCTTCTCCCCTTTTCCTCTCTGGTCACACCACTTTATATACTCCATTTTAATTTTTGTTTTTATCAGATTTTGTTCCAGACAAATTAGCCCTGCCAACATGTGGATCCCATCTCTGATGCATGGTGACGGCTTCAGGTCTCACTGTTCCCTCATGTGCATAGAAACTATAGTCACAGTCACTTAAGGGAAGTCCTATCATGTGTACACATGACATCTATTCGCTTTCCATTGGCTAAACTTAGTCATATGGCAGTGCAAAGGATGGAAATGTCTTTCACATATTAGCTGTATGCCCAGCTAAATTCTATACATACAAAAAAATTAAAAAAGGGACAGTGGATTTGGGGGAGAAAACAGAAGTCTTCAACAGAGGAAATAAGCCAGATTTCTATGCAGGAAGAATATCATTTAGATTAGATAATAAGGAGAGCAATCTATGAAAAAATAGTGTTAAAATGAGACCTAAAGCGTAAGTAGGAAATGGCCAGGAGAAGTTTCTGAGTAGACATTTTCCCTCAGGAAGGAATAATCTTGAGGCAAGAAAAAGTTGGAGTCTTGTCACTGGAGCAAAGTGAATGGTGAGCTAAGGAGAAATGAAGTTGGAGAAATAGGAGCTAGGTCATAATACACACACACACACACACACACACACACACATCCAATTAAACATCTGAAAAATTTAAATTCAAAATAATACACTGAAATATGTTTAGGAGATGTGATTCATACTTTTAAAAAATCACAGTGGCTTCTGTCAGAGAGTGGCAAGGAGTAGGGGAAAGTGGGGTAAGGCTCAGTTAGGAACTAGTCAGGAGTGAAGAGTTGCTAAACCATGGTGATAGCAGTGAGGATGGAGAAAAGAGGACGGAGTTGAAAATTGTTTTTTCTTTTTAGGTGTGTATGAACACACTTGATCAGGGAGATAATAAGTGCGAGGCAAGGGAAAGGATGTGTTAAGAATGACTCAGGTTTCTGGCTGGAGCAGTTGGGTAGATTGTGATAACCTTTATTGAGGAAAGAGACTTTGGGAGGAGCAGGTTGGAGGGAAGTATAATGAGTCTGCATTTGACATAAGTTTCAGGTGCTGTGAGAGTTGCAAGTGGAACAGTGAAGTGGGCAATTAAGTATCAATCCAAAGCTCAGAAGAAAGGGCTGGACTTGGCAATCAGCAGCAGCAGATGCTATTGACAATAAGGAAAGGAAGCATTAGGGAGAGACTATAGTGAGAGAGCACTGAAAAGGTCAATATTTACCTGTTGTTAT